TATCCACATGAAATTTGTAATGTGAAAATCAGAAGGTGCCTGTAAAGTAAAATTCTGTATTTCGTGTGTGAGAAAAATACTTTTTGTTCGTACATTTTAAACCTTTTAAGTCCTTAGAGCTAAAATTTACTTTGTATTATTGGGCCAACGGTTGAGTTCATGTTCTTTATGTCACACCTTTGCCCAATGAAACACAGCGAGCCTGGATCGGCTTGTACAACGATGTGAACAGCTGGAGGTGGTCGATGGACGACACAGGTTTCTACAAAGATGGAGAACCTGAGCTCAGAAATTGGTCACCTGGAGAACCAAATAACCATAAAGGCAATGAATGTTGTGCAGAGATGTTTGACAGCGGAGTATGGAATGACAGAGACTGTGATGCCGTCTGTAATGTAGTCTGCATTTACATCGCAGGTGAGGACTTTAAATAATACAGAACCATTCAAAAATACAGGGTTTTCTGTGATTTCTTTCCTGACTCTGCTTCTATTTGCCTTCATGTTTATTGTTTCTTTTTCAGAGTCAGATGTGACATTTGTCTTCATCAAAAAAAAGATGACATGGACGGACGCCCAGAGCTTCTGCAGAGCTAATTACACCGACCTGGCCAGTGTGAGAAACATGTCAGAGAACCAGAAGATAAAGGAGCTGATACCCAAAGGAAAAAAAGCCTGGATCGGCCTTTTCAGAGACTCCTGGAAGTGGATAGATGGATCCAGCTCCTCGTTTAGATACTGGGATACAAAAGAACCAAACAACAATTTTCACAAGGAGATGTGTGTGGCAGCATACTTTGAAAAGGAAGGAAAATGGGAAGATTGGAACTGTGATTATAAGAGAGCATTTGTTTGCTACAGTGGTAAGCTAGCCTATGCTATCCCGTCAGTGTTGTCATTTAGCTCGACTTTGCAGAGACATGGCAGCGCTGTTGTGCCTCTGTTTGTACAAAAATGACAAACCTGTACAGTAACTGTTCTGGAGGCTGCATTGAAAAATGTAACAAAATACCAGGAAGTGAAACCTTTAAAGTGTGCATGAATCTATCTATCTATCTATCTATCTATCTATCTATCTATCTATCTATCTATCTATCTATCTATCTATCTATCTATCTATCTATCTATCTATCTATCT